AAGTTCTCCTGAATCCAAAGCAAGTGCTCTATCTCCTGTGCCACCCAGCTGCTCCCCACCCCCACCCCCACCCCAGTCTCATGTTACAAATGAGCATTCTGAGGCAGAGTTAAGTAACTTTTCCAAGGTCACATAGCTAGCTATTAAGTGTCTGAGGTCAGCTTTGAGCTCAGGTCTTCCTCACTCCAGGGCCAGCACTCTGTTCCCTGCACCACCTAGCTAATGTGGGTCCTCCTGAACTGCACCTTCCTTGAGGTTCAAGAATATCTCTATTTTCTTATCACCTGTATTAATGACATTTACTGTTTCTCTGCTCAATAAGGTAAAGATTGTTTATTGTTTAAAGAGATCTTTTTCACAAGAGATTTTGGAAGGCTGAGTCTTGCAATATAGATAATATTCTGAAAGAAGAAAATAATTCATTAATGAGAAATAGAGAAATAGAGAGAACACATGAACTTCTGGGAAATTTTGAACTCAGAAATAAATATAAAAATTCAAAAAATATTATTTCTGTAAGTTGAGACTACAGCCACAAATGACCTAAAATTAAACATTAAGACATTCATCTCAGTAGAATACCCCTGTGCTTTCCCAACTCCTGATTAAGAGGAAAAGAAAGTTGCTACCCTATGTTCTTCCACTTCCTGAAAAAGGTTTTATGAGAAGTGAAAGTCACCCAGTTAACCTGTATCTCTGCCCTCTAGAAAAGAAAGCAAGGAGGGACTGTTACAAAAATCTGGGAAGCTTCGATCTTTGCCTTCTACTTTTGGTCCAGTTGATTCTTGCTAAAGCCTTCCTCTCATCACCCCTGAAGTTTTGACACAAAATCATATTTTCTACATTTCTTTTTTATATTTTAAAATTAATTTTAAGTTTAAATATACAATAAGAAAAAAAAGAAACATATTACAAATGTAAATACAAATTAAGAAAAATAAAGCATCATCATGTGCACAGTAGAATGTGAGAGGATTCAAAATATACAGTAATAAATTTCCATTTCAAGAAAGCCAATATAATGAATACTACACATTGTGTTCTGAGCTCTCCATCTTTTCTTTGCTTCTTTGTAAGTTTTCTTTTGTTCCCTGCTGCACACTTTTTACTCTGTTCTTTTATTTTCTTCCAGTTTTCCTGGGAGGACTACTGTTACACCCCAACTTTTGTTTATTTTTTAACCTCTCTATATTTGCCCTGAGGCACCATTTACTCTAGTTTGTGGGAGAAATCTGGAAAGCTTGGAATTTTCTGACACTGTCTATGATCTTTCCAGAATCCTCTCTATATTTCAAAATCTATCCTAGATCTGAGAATCAGTGACAATGTCCTTTTTTTCTTTTTTTAAAATATAATTTTATATCATTAAATATTCCTCAATTACATGTCAAAAAATAACACTCAATTAAAAAATAGTTCTAAATTCTCTCCTTCCCTACTGCTTCTCCTCCCTCCTTTAGAAGGCAAGCAATTATATATATGTAAAATACATTTGAAATAATGCAAAATGTATTTCCTTATTAGCTATGTTGCAAAATAAAATAGACAACAAACAAAAGAAAAAATAAAGTTAAAAAAGTATGCATCATTCTGTATTCAGAGTTCATCAGTTCTCTCTCTGGTGGTACATAGCATTTTTCATTATGGGTCCTTTGGAATTGTCTTAGATCATTGTCTTGGTCAGTGTAGCTAAGTCTTTCACAGTTGATCATCCTTATAATATTGCTGTTACTATGTATAATATTCTCCTGGTTTTGCTTACTTCATTTTTTAAAAAATTATTTATTTTTACTTTTCAACATTCACTTCCATAAGATTTTAAGTTCCAATTTTTCTCCCCATGTCTCCCCTACTCCCATCCAAAGATGGTGTGTAAATTGATATAGGCTTAATATATACATTCATATTAAACCTATTTTCATATTAGTCGTGTGGTAAAGAAAAATTAGAACCAATAGGAGAAACCATGGGAAAAAAAGAAAAAAAAAAGAAAAAAGGGAAAGCAAATAATATGCTTTGATTTGCATTTAGACTCCATAGTTCTTTTTCTGGATTTGGGAGCATTTTTTTTTGACATGAGTCTTTTGGAGTTGTCTTAGAACCTTGCATTGCTAAGAAAAGATAAGTCTATAAAAGTTAGTCATCACACAATGTGGCTGCTGTGTACAATTTTTTCCTGGTTCTTCTCACTTCACTCGGCATCATTTCATGTAAGTCTTTCCAGGTTTTTCTGAAGTCCACCTGCTCCTTATTTCTTATACCACAATAATATTCCATTCCATTCATATACCACAACTTGTCCACAATTGCTGAGCATCCCCTCAATTTCCTTTGCCACCACAAAAAGAGCTGCTATAAATATTTTTGTACATGTGGGTCCCTTTCCCCCATTTTTATGACCTCTTTGGGATACAGACCTGGAAGTGGGATTGCTAGGTCAAAGGATATGCATAGTTTTATAGCCTTTTGGGAGTAGTTCCAAATTGCTCTCCAGAATGATTGGATCAATTCACAACTCCACCAACAATACATTAGGGTTCCAATTTTCCCAAATCTTCTCTGGCATTTAACATTTTCCTGTTTTGTCATGTTAGCCAATCACAATCTGATGGGTGTGATGTGGTACTTCAGATTCATTTTGATTTGCATTTCTCTAATCAAGAGTGATTTAGAACATTTAGTTTTGTATGATTAGAGATGGCTTTACTTTCTTCACCTGAAAACTGCCATTTGTCAATTGGGGAATGATTTGTATTCTTATAAATTTGACTCCGTTTTTTATATATTTTAGAAATGAGGCCTTTATCAGAGACACTGGTTGTGAAAATTTCCCAGTTTTCTGCTTCTCTCCTAAACTTGGTCACATTGGCTTTATGCAAAACCTTTTCAATTTACTGTAGTCAAAATTATCCATTTTGCATTTCATAATGTTGTCCATCTCTTGTTTGGTTATAAATTCTTTTGTGCTCCATAAATCTTAGAGGTAAAGTATTCCTTGCTCTCCCAGTTTGTTTATAGTATCAGCCCTTATATATAAATCACATACACATTTTGATTTTATTTTGGCATATGGTATAAGATGTTGGTCTATGCCTAGTTTTTGCCATGCTATTTTCCAGTTTTCCTAGCAGTTTTTTGGCAAATAGTGAGTTGCTATCTCAGAAGCAGGAACCTTTGGGTAAATAAAAAAATAATTACTATAGTCATTAATTACTGTGTCTTGCATACCTAACCTATTCCACTGATCCACCACTCCATTTCTTAGCCAGTACCAAGCAGTTTTGATGATTGCTGCTTCATAATACAATTTAAGATGTGATATGGCTAAGCAACCTTCCCTCAAATTTCTTTTCACTAATTCTCTTGATATTCTGAAACTTTTGTTCTTCCTGATTAATTTTGTTATTATTTTTTTCTAGTTTTACAAAATTTTTTTTAGTACTTTAATTTGTATGGCACTGAATAAGTAAATTAATTTTGGCAGGATTGTAATTTTTATTCTATTAGCTCGGCCTACCCATGAGCAACTGATTTTTTTTTCAATTACTTAGATCTGACTTTTTTTGTGTGAAGTGTTTTGTAATTGAGTTCATATAGTTCCTGGGTTTGTTTTGGCAGTAGACTCCCAAATATTTTCTAATGTCTATAGTAACTTTAAATGGAATTTCCATTTCTATCTCTTGATGTTGGGCTTTGTTAGTAATATATAGAAATGCTGATAATTTATTTGGGTTTCTTTTATATCCTGCAAATTGGCTAAAGTTGTTTATTATTTCAAGTAGTTTTTTACTTGATTCTCTAGGTTTCTCTCAATGTGTCATCATATCATCTTCTAAGAGTGATAGCTTTGTTTCTTCTTTCCTTATTCTAATTCCTTCAATTTATTTTTATTCTGTTATTGCTAAACCTAACACTTCTAGTACCACATTGAATAACAGTGGTGATAATGGACATCCTTGTTTCACCACTGATCTTATTGGAAATGCCTCTAACTTACCCCCATTAGATATAATGCTTGTTGATAGTTTTTAGGTAAATGCTACTTATCATCTTAAGGAAAACTACATTTATTCCTATGCTCTCTAATGTTTTTAATAGGAATGGCTGTTGTATTTTGTCAAAAGCTTTTTCTACATCTATTGAGATAATTATATGATTTCTGTTAGTTTTATTGTTGATATGGTCAATTATGCTGCTAGTTTTCCTAATATTCAATCAGTCCTGAATTTCTGGTATTAATCCTACTTGGTCATAGTGTATTATTCTCAAGATAAGTTGCTGTAATCTTTTTGCTAATGTTTTATTTTAAAAATTTGTAGCTATAGCCATTAGGGAAATTGGCCTATAATTTTCTTTCTCTGTTTTGGCTCTTCATAGTTTAGATATCAGTACCTCATTTGTATCATAAAAAGAATTTGGTAGGACTCCTTTGTTTATTTTCCCAAATGATCTGTATAGTATTGGAATTAATTGTTCTTTAAATGCTTGAGAGAATTCACTTGTAAACCCATCTGGCCCTGGAGAGTTTTCCTAGGGAGTTCATTGATGGCTTGTTAATTTCTTTTTCTGAAATGGGATTATTGAAGTATTTTATTTCCTTTTCTGTTAATCTGGCTAATTTATATATTTTTTAAATATTCATCCATTTCACTATGATTGTTAAATTCATTGGCATACAGTGTGCAAAACAGTTAGTTTCTAATCATTGTTTTAATTTCCTCTTCATTGGTGGTGAATTCTCCCTTTTCATTTTTATACTGGTAATTTGGTTTTCTTCTTTCTTTTTTAAAAATCAAAATAACCTAAGATTTAGCTATTTTATTGTTTTTTCCATAAAACAAGCTCTTAATTTTATTTATTAGCTCAATAGTTTTCTTGATTTCAATTTTATTAATCTCTCCTTTGGTTTTCAGTATTTCTAATTTGGTATTTAATTGGGGGTTTTTATTTTTACCTGGTATAAATTTTATTGAAATAATTTTTTTATCATAATTATTTAGGACTGGTGTTCAATAAATTATCCTGTCACTGCCCTTACTTCATCCCACAGAACAGAGAAGAAATGAATTGGTTTTTTTTGAACTGCTTCTGGTCCATAGCTTTGTGTGTTCTAAGAACTCTCTCATTGGCCAGGTAGGTGGCAAAGTGGATAAAGTTCTTGGCCTGAAGTCAGGAAGATTCATCCTCCTAAATTCAAATCTAATCTTAGAAACTTAGTAGATGTGTAACCCTAGGCAAGTCACTTTAAGAGTCAGAACATGAGTAAATGACAGTTCTACCAAGACAGTTCTCCTTAAGATCTAAGGATGAGCAATCTTTTCTGCCCTGGAACTGTGCCACAAGCTCTGGTGTGCTAATGTTCTTCCTTGCCCTGGGACTGCTAGCCAGGACTGCAACCTGCATCCAAGTGTGGGCAAAGCAACAGAATCCTGCGCCAGTGCCAACAAAGAGAAGCTTTACCATCTGGGGGCTGAGCTCTAGAAGCAGCTGCTGTCGCTGCACAGTCAGTGGCCCCTAAGGCCTGCTCCAGATTTGATGGGACCCTGGTCTGTGTGGGATGGCCTGTTCTGGAATGCACTTCATTCTCACTCTGTATGACAGGCTTTTCTTCTTGACATTTTAAGTTGTCTTGGGCTTGAAAATTATTTCACACTATCCTTTTGCAGGTTCTGCAGCTCCAGAATTTGTTTTAGAGAATTATTTGAAGGTGTTCCAAAGGGTTTGAGGACAGCTCAGGTAAGTCTATACCTTTATCCTTCATCTTGGCTCCACTTTGACAATGGTTGTTTCTGATGATGGTACTACATGGAATTACATCTTTGATTATCATTTTTCTTTTATCCATATAAGCCAATCTATTTTCATGTTTTCTTTTGGGCTTTGTGTTGCAGGATCTGTTTATGACTCTCTTGAACCTTGTATTTGAAGATCAAATTTTCCACTGGTCTCTTGTCTTTTCATCAGGAAAGCCTGGAAGTCCCCTATTTCATTGAATATGCATCTCCTTCACTGAAAGATTATGCTCAATTTTGCTGGGTAGTTGAATCTTGGTTGTAATCCAAGCTCCTTTGCCTTATGGAATATCATGTTCCAAGTCCTCCCGTCTTTTAATGTAGAAGCTACAAGGTCCTGCATAATTCTGTCTGTGGTTCCACGATATTTGAATTGTTTCTTTTTGGCTGCTTGCGGTATTTTCTCCTTGACCTGATAATTCTGGAATTTGTCTACACTGTTCCTTTGTGTTTTCAATTTGGGATCTCTTTCAGGAGGTGATCAGTGATTCTTTCAATGACTATTTTACCCTCTGGTTCTAGGACCCAGGGCAGTTTTCCTTGATTTCTTGATAGATCCTATCCAGGCTCTTTTTCTGTTGTTATCTGGAATGGCTTGACTAGTTCAAAATGCTGCTAACATTGTATTAGTGTCCCAATTTTTCAACAATCCTTCTAGCATTTGTTACTTTCCTTTTGTGTCATTTTAGCCAATCTGATAGATTTGAGATATTATCTCAGAATTATTTTAATTTGCATTTCTGTAATCAGTTGTGCTTTAGACTATTTTTTCCCATATGGATATGAACAGTCAATTTTCAGAAGAAGAAATTCAGTCTTGAAAAACTGGCTGTTTATATCCCTTCACCTTTTACCAACTGGACAATGGCTCTTATTTTTATGTATTTAGCTGAGTTTCCTATACATTTAAGAAATTAGGCTTTTGTTAGAGAAACTTGCTGTAAAAATATTTCCCCAGTTTCTGTTTTCCTTCTAACTGTGGTAGCATAAAATTCGTGCAAAAGCTTTTAATTTTCATGAAATCAGAATTATCCATTTTACTTCCCATAATCTTCTCTATCTCTTGATTGGTCATCAACTCTTCCTTATCCATAGATCTGACAGGTACATTTTCTCATGTTCCCCTAATTTATTTATGATATCGTACTTTACATCTAAATTATTCATCCATTTTGATCTTATACGGATATTCAGTGTGAGATGTTGATCTATGCCTACTTTCTGCCAACCTACTTTTCCGTTTTCTCAGCAAATTTTGTAAAATGGTGAATTCTTACCCCAAACCTTTGGGTTTATCAAACAATAGATTATTATGGCCTTCCTAATGTGTATTGTGTATTTAATCTATTTCACTGACTTAGCATTCTATTTCTTTATCACACTGTTTTTGCTGATTACCACTTTGTAATATAAGTTTGAAATATGATACTTCTAGCTAGTCTTCCTTTACATTTTCTTTCATTTATTCCCTTGATATTTTTAACTTTTTGATCTTCCAGCTTTTCAAGCATAGGGAGGAAATTTTGGTAGTTTATACCAAACTTTGGTAGTTTGATTGGCTTGACATTGCATAAGTAAATTAACTTAAATATAACTGTAATTTTTCTTATGTTAGCTCAGTCTACCCATGATCAATTAATATCTTTCTAATTGTAATCTGATATTATTTGTGTGAAAAATATTTTGGAATTGTGCTCATATATTCTGTGTTCATATATTCCCTGGATTTATCATGCCAGGTAGATTCCTGAGTATTTTACATTATTTTAAATGGAATTTCCCTTTCTAATTTTTCCTGCTGGGTTTTGTTGATAGTATGTAGATACACTGATGATTTATATGGTTTCATTTTATATCCTGCAACTTTGCTAAAGCTGTTAATTGTTTCAACTTTTTTTTTAGTTAATTCTCTATGGTTCTTTGAGTATACAATTATATCATCTACAAAGAGTGATAGTTTCATTTCTTAATTAGCTATTTTCATGTCTTTATTTTTTCTTATTGAATAGTCATGGTGATAATGGATACCCTTGATTCACCCTTGATTTTATTGGGAGGGCTCCATGTTTATCCCCATTAAAAATAGTGTTTGCTCTTGGTTTTAGATATATACTGTTTATTATTGCCAGGGTTCCATTGATTCCTATGCTTTCTATTACTTTTAATAGGAATGAGTATTTTATTTTGTCAATGGCTTTTTCTGCAACAATTGAAATAATCATATGATTTTTGTTGTTTTTATTACTGATATGGTCAATTATGCTGATATTTTTTTTTCAAACCAGTCCTTGATTTTTGGTATAACCCCAACTGGTCAAATTATACATCTTTGTGATATATTGCTATGATCCCTTTGCCGGCATTTTTTTTTGCATCGATATTCATTAAATAAATTAGTCTATAGTTTTCTTTCCCCATCTTTGTTCTCCTTGGTTTAGGTAACAAAACCATATTTTTGTCATAAATGTTATTTTTAGAACTGTTTCTTTACTTTATGGAATTTCTCTGTGTGTGTGACTTGTTTCATAACATTTGTGAGTTATTAGGTGGCTTCCTGCTTACCAATCTTGAGAATTATCAACTGACACTGCATTACCTTTTGACTGCTTTGAATGAGGGATAAGACATTATAATTTTTATTTTCTCCATATGCCTATGTTGTTTTTGTTCAGTTGTTTCAGTTGTATCTGACTCTTTGTGACCCCATTTGGGATTTCCTTTGCAAAGATAATGGCAAAGGAGCCATTCCTTTACAAATGAGGAAACTGGGGCAAACAGGGTTAAGTGACTTGCCCTGGGTCACAAGCTAGTATTTGTTTGAGGCTAGATTTGAACTCAGGAAGCTGAGTCTTCCTGACTTTAGGCATGACACTCTATCCACTGCTCCCTTGCACCCATACTTAGCTTAGCTTAGCTGTCCCCATGCACCCATATTCAGAATAATTGTTCTTAAGCAAATGAGAACCATCAGTCTTTTGGCTAGTTTGACTAGTTCACTTTTTATGGTCAGTAGAGAACCCTGGGATTTTAAAAGCAGGGTGGAGCCAAGATGGTAGGGGAGAGAAAATACTCAGCCAAAGTTTCCCAACAATCCCCTCCAAACAAATCAAAACCTGGAGTAGCAGAGACAACAAAACAATCTAGGTGTTGGAAAGAGATATCCATGACACATGAGTGGAGGCTAGCATGGAGCCCACTTGAGTGAAAAAACAATGATGGGTCTAGGTGGTGGTGAAAGAAGCTGAGTAGAGCTATGGTTCTCTCACTAGTGTGTATATTACTTTAAGGAAAATGATAATGGGGGCAGAGCCAAGATGGTGGAGAGAGGCCAGAAAGTTGCTTGAACTGGCACAGTTTTCCTCAAAAACAATGTTAAATCAAGACTCTGAATGGATTCTGGAGCAACAGAACCCACAAAAAAGATGTAATGAAACAATTTTCCAGCTTAAAATAATTTAGAAGGTCTTCAGAAAAGGTCTACCTTACTTGGGTAAAAGGGTAACACAGCCCAACACAGGTGGTGCCTGGACAAGTCAGCTGAGACTTTTAGCCACAGCGCAGATCAGCACTTGAGGCCCCTTAGTCCTGTTGTGAGGCCTCCTGCCCCAGCAAAGAAGGCAAATGGCAAGGACAAAAACCTGGCGTGGGTGTAACAAGGCAAGGCCACACCCAGCACAGTGGACAAGCTGCAAGCACCTGAGGCCCTGGCATGGAAAGCCAGTGACCAGGACCCAGGTCCCCTAGCATAAGAAGCTTTGAATAGGGCCTCCCAGGAGCAGACTCAACTTTAAAAGTCAGGAAATAGGCTGAAAAATGAATAAGAATCAGAAAAGAACCTTGACCATAGAAAGCTACTATGGCAACAGGGAAAAACAAAATACAGAAATTAGAAAAGGCCAAAAATGTCAAAATCACTACATGTGAAGCCTTAAAATGGAATATGAATTGGTTCTAAGCCCAAAAAGTTCTCTTGAAAGAGTCTAAAAAGGATTTTAAAATCAAGTAAGAGAGCTAGAAGAAAAATTTGGAAAAGAAAAGCATTATGCAGGAGAATTATGAAAAGGGAGTCAACACTTTGGAAAAAAAAACAGAAAAATTGACTGTAAAAAACAATTCCTTAAAAATTAGAATTGGGCAAGTAGAAGCTAATGACTCTCAAGAATCAGTCAAACAAAATCAAAAGAGTGAAAAAATAGAAGAAAATATAAAATATCTCATTGGAAAAACAGCTGATGTGGAAAATAGATCCAGGAGAGAGAATTTAAGAACTTTTGGACTACTTGAAGGCCATGATAAAAAAAAAAGTCTGGACAGCATCTTTGAAGAAATTATCAAGGAAAACTGCCTTCATATCCTAGAACCAGAGTCATTGAAAGTCATTGAAAGAATTCACTGAACACCTCCTAAAAAAGATCCCAAAATGAAAACCCCAAAGAATATTACAGAATTATCAGGTCAAGAAGAAAATACTGTAAGCAGACAGAAATAAACAATTCAGATATCAAGGAGCCACTGTCAGGATTACACAGTATTTAGCAGTATTCTGGGAGGCAAAGAAGCTCAGATTACAACCAAGATTCAACTACTCAGCAAAACTAAGCATATTCTTTCAGGAGAAAAGATGGGATAGTGAATGTAAAAAGGGGACTTTCAAAATTTCCTGATGAAAAGACCAGAGCTGAACAGAAAATTTGAAAAAGGTAGACAGGAAAGAAAAAAAAATATTCAATAGGATTAGACTATTTTTGTCCCTACACAGGAAGGTGCTTGTAACTCTTAAGAACTGTATTTCTATTAGGTTAGTAAGAAAGAGTATATATGGACAGAGAGTATAGGTATAAGTAGACTTTGATGCAATGATATAAAAAAATTAAGGGGGAAAAAGATTGTACTGGGGGAAGAGGAAAAGGAGAGGCAGAACAGGATAAATTTTATCACATGAAGAGGT